TCACAACAAAGCCATGCAAAAGTCCCAACAAAAGAAAAAGTCCTAAAAACCCCCAGCTCGCACTAAATCATCGAAGGTATGGGAATACTTCAAATTTAGTCCCAAACGTAAAGGTGTCGTTATTTGCGCTCTTTGTCAAATGGAGTTGACATCCCAAGTCTCCCGCATAGTGATAGCGGCTCCCTGATGACCGCAAATTAGTTAAAATCTCCCGGAATCTAGAGCTTGCGAGCTCCAAACCGTGTAGCGCGCGCGCCGCGAGCGAGAGACCTTGCGCGTGTGTGTGCAAATGTGCGTGTGTGCCTTATGAAGCGCATGTAAACCCCACCCCCGTCAACAAAACCGAAAAATCAGTCCGGATGTTTTTTATGAGCACTGAAAACATTAAAATGAGCACCACATCCAAGTGTGATAGGGCTCATTTGAGTAGCCTACCAAACATTTTACAGTGTAGATACTCTGTAAGAACCAGATCAAAATTGTTGTGCATTGAATGTGCACTCCTGCAATTTCCATGTTACAAAAAAGAATCGTTCAATTAGTCGTTAGATTAGTCGACTAATCGATAAAATAATCGACAGACTAATCGTTTAATTAATAATCGTTTACCCCAGCCCTACTCAGAAGCAATTTCAGTAGCAAAAGCTCTACCCTATTTTGAAGTAAAAAAAAATTTTTAAATAAATTAAATGAGTTAATCAATGTTGTTTTCGTTAACTAAAATAAAATTAAAAATTATTTAAATACAGCTGAAATTAAATATTAGATGAAAAACTGAAATAAGTTTATGCCGAAGTGCTAAAATTACTAACTGAAATATAACCATCAACTTAAGTAAAAAACTAAAACTAATAAAAATGACAAAGATCACATAACAAAATCACTAAAAAGTAAACAAATTTTAAAAACGTAAAATATTTTTAACAAAAGTGTGTGTGTGCGTGAGAGGAGAGTGTGTGTGTGTGTGTGTGTGTGTGTGTGAGTGAGAGAGTGTGTGTGTGTGTGAGAGGAGAGTGAGAGTGTGTGTGTGTGTGTGTGTGTGTGTGTGAGAGGAGAGTGAGAGTGTGTGTGTGTGTGTGTGTGTGTGTGTGTGTGTGTGTGTGTGTGTGTGTGTGTGTGTGTGTGTGTGTGTGTGTGTGTGAGAGAGTGTGTGTGTGTGTGTGTGAGAGAGTGTGTGTGTGAGTGTGTGTGTGAGAGTGTGTGTGTGTGTGAGTGTGTGTGAGAGGAGAGTGAGAGTGTGTGTGTGTGTGTGTGTGTGTGTGTGTGTGTGTGTGTGTGTGTGTGTGTGTGTGAGAGAGTGTGTGTGTGAGTGTGTGTGTGAGAGTGTGTGTGTGAGTGTGTGTGTGAGAGTGTGTGTGAGAGAGTGTGTGTGTGTGTGTGAGTGTGTGTGAGAGAGTGTGTGTGTGTGAGTGTGTGTGTGTGTGTGTGTGTGAGTGTGAGAGAGTGTGTGTGTGTGTGTGTGTGTGTGTGTGTGTGTGTGTGTGTGTGTGTGTGTGTGTGTGTGTGTGTGTGTGTGTGTGTGTGTGTGTGTGTGTGTGTGTGTGTGTGTGTGTGTGTGTGAGAGAGAGAGTGTGTGTGAGAGAGAGAGTGTGTGTGAGAGAGAGAGTGTGTGAGTGTGTTGTCTGGCATTTAAACAGAGCGCATGAAGCTTGGCAAAGTACAGACCCTAAACTGGACTTCTCTTTAATTCTCTCTCACACACACACTCACACACACAGCTGTGAGCCGGACAACGGAAACTTGGACCTGACAGAGAAAGGCGCTCAATCTGTTGAGCCCTCTCTATGTGTGCCAGACTGCATGCTGGGTAGAATCTCAGTGTCCTTCATTACTCACAGCCCTGAGAAACTGACTCCTCCACATCACCAACTGGACAGAGTCATGACGGCTCATCACACACACACACACACACACACACACACACACACTTCATTACAGGTCATCTTCCTCAGCCGAGACTAATGCGCTCTATATGACTGAAGCACCACAGCATTACAAACCATCCATCACTACAAATCACATAACTGCATAATCACAATCCATGGTTAACAATTTACAAGGTTTCATTAGTTAACATTAATTACCTAACAATGAACAATAGTTTAATAGCATTTAATGTTAATCTCGACATTTACAAATTAAATATTGTCTGTTAATATACAGGTGAAACTCGAAAAATTTGAATATCATGCAACATGTATTTCAGTAATTCAAATTAAAAGGTGAAACTAATATATGTATATATAACTATGATTATACTTTTCAGAGGAGCGACATTTATGTATTTAAAATCCTTTTTTTATTTTTTTTATTTCATATAATCTAATTTTCTGAGATTTAGAATTTGGGGTTTCCATAAGCTGTAAACCATAATAAATCAAAATTATAACTTTTGCACGATATTCAAATTTTTTGAGTTTCACCTGTAAGCCAATGCACTGTGAACTAATGTGAACATTTTTATTAACTAACAAAAATGCTGTAAAATGCATTGTTCATTATTAGTTCATATGATCAAGTGTTAGGAATCTATTAACTGCGCAGACTAAATGTATAATCAATAACAAATATAAAAAGAATATATATATATATATACATATATCACTGCTTTGTCCTAAATTATGCAGTCTAGTTTTACCCAAGAATTGAATTATTAAACATGTTTTTAATAACCTCTCACTTAACCTCAGAGCTCATGACAGTTCTGCTTTGAAAGCTCTATATGTTATCACTAAAAATCAATGGGGATTTGTGCTTGCTGTCACGTTCTATAGGGGTTTTATATAAGTGAGGCGGTCAGCTGGCCTATTATGGACACAATCACTCAGGACTAGGGGTGTCACAATAGATCGCAATACAAAAATGCAACAATATCGTGGATAGTGACAAAATTATGCATTGTTTTATTCACCTAAAATAAAAATTACTCTGTAAGAAAAAATTCAAGTTTACAGAGTTTTAGTGTCAGTACTACATTAAACTGCTGTAATGTTGAATATTATGTATTATAATGCAATATTTGTGGGTTCTGATTATGCAAAATGTTTTATGTTACCAGTAAAAACAAAAGTGACCTATATTATTTTAAATACATCTAGTCAGTGACAGAGTGAAATATTGTTATTCTGGTGTCTCTATTGTCCTGTGCTTTGGGTTTCAGCACCAAGTCCAAGCCTATTCATTTACACACACAATGTAATACCAAATTTAGCATTTTAATCAACAGTACATTTTTTGTTAACCTTTTATCATATGTCTCGGAGTATCGCAATAATATCGTATCGTGAGTTCAGTATCGTGATATGAGGGTGTCGTTTCAGGAGCCTATTTATTTAAACGAAGCAGGATTAAAAACAGCCCAGAGTCATGGGACACACAAATGAGAGGAACTGATCAGAGACTCTGTGATAAATCAAGCTAAACAAACCCAACAGAACACAGCTGTGCTTTATATTGCCCACCATCATAGATCTCTAACTTGTCTAATTGATCGGCGATGCTCTATTTAACAGACAGACTCGAAGCGACTCTTCCTCTCAGTCTGGAACGGCTGCCCTGGTCCAATATCACTCACACATGTGTGTGTCATCCAATCAGATTCCTGTAACAGGGGTTTAATGGCTTTCTAGGTAATGTTATTTGATCCAGGTTTAAGCTGCATTATTTTATAGATGGCAGCTATTTCTGGCTTATGGCAAAATCCCTGCACGTCTGATGAGTTTTTTTGGCCGCAGGAATCTGAGGAACATCTGTAACACATTTACTGTACGACGTTTCGCACGGCAGATTTACACAACAGCTTTGTAACGCTTTACTCACCGGCGACGGATCTGTGCTTTCTACAAGGACACACATCAGCTGAACATCTCAGCATCTGTCCAGTGCAAACCAATACTTCTCATACAGTCTACAAAAACTATACACACAATACCACCAAATATTACAAATATGGCTACATCCCCTGTTTGACATTACATGTCATGACATCAATAAATGACAGTAATGTGACAAGGTTAAACTAGTTAACATAAACCATGCATAATTATTATGCATGCAGCTTTTATGATATATACAGTACTGGTGAAATGTTTGGAAACATTACTATTTTTAATGTTTTTGAAAAGAAGTCTCTTCTGCTCATCAAGCCTGTATTTATTTGATCAAAATATTAATTGCACTATTATTACAATTAGCTGTTTTCTATGTGAATATATAGTAAAATGTCCTTTATTTCTGTGATCAACGAACCTTTAGTGTCACATGATCCTTCAGAAATCAGTATAATATGATGATTTATTATCAATGTTGGAAACAGTTGTGCTGCTTAGTATTTTTTTATAACCTGTGATATTTTTTTCAGGATTCATTGATGAATAAAAAGTTAAAAAGAACAGCATTTACTTAAAATAGAAATCTTTTGAAACAATATACAGTCACTACCGTTCAAAGGTTTGGAGACAACATTGATAGTAAAGATTGATATTGTTGGAAATATTTCTATTTTGAATATGTGTTGTTCTTTTGAACTTTTTATACTATATATTCAGATAGAAAACAGCTATTTAAAATTTTAACAAATGCAGCCTTGATGAGCATAAGATACTTTTGACCGGTATTGTATACATATAGAGACCATTTTGAATATTTGTACTCAAAAATTTAAGTGTGTACTGCAAAAAAAACAAGGTACCTACTACCTAAAGAATCAGATTCAGATGCAGACAGACTGATATTAAAAACGTTATTAAATATTCAAATTCTAATTGTGGCATATATTATTATACTCATATATGAATGTAAATGTCCCTAGTGTTTTTATATGTTGAAAATAGTTCATATCAATATTGTTAGTTCTTGTATTGTTGGTCCTGTGAGTAACCAGGTTAAATAACACTTCTCTGGATATAATGCTGGAATGACAACAAACTAAACTACGGTGTTTTGACTAGTAAACCTGACTGGAGGAGTGTTGTGAAAGTTTTCCCAGTGGACGTGTGTACCCGTGTTGTTGTTCGCAGGCAGCAGAGCGCTGAGCAGCACCGGGTGGGTTTTCTCCAGAGCCCAGCAGAACTCCTGGAAATGATCCCTCTCCTTCTTCTCCACCAGAGTCTTGAGGAGCAGATGGACCTTCTCGGCGGAGCTGGAGCAGTTTCTGTCGAGCTCCGCTCGCTCGGCCGGGCTCAGACTCCCTGACTGGGCCAGCAGCTCCAGAACCCGGTCCACATCTGTGACGGACTCCGACAACTTTTCCTGGCATTGCTCTAACAACTCTTTGTGCTTGGGATCCATCACACCCGGTCCGCCCGCTACAGAACGACACTAAGCGCTGAAAACAACGACGCTCCTGTTAAAGAGTTTTTTGTGTGAGATTGAAAGAAGCAAGAAGCCATATTTGCGACTTTAGGAGAGACTCCAACGGTTTTTTTCCTTCTTCTTCTTCGGCTCCGGAGAGTCTCACATCTTTGCCAGGTCTCGGTTTCAAATCGATTGACGGTGGTCTGACGGCGCTCGTAACTTTAACTCGCTTTCGATCATTTTAAATTTGTTAGAAAGTTTGACAGTTTATCACAAATTCTCGCCGTAACTCCAATGATCAGAGGTGCGGCGGAGCTCCGCCATGACTCCACAACTCCGCAGCTGCTATCATCTGCCAATCAAAGCCTAGCAGAGGGAGGGGCACGGAGAATGGGGCGGGGCTCCCACCTGCCAATCAAACCGGTTCAACAAGAGGGGAACGATAAAGGGGCGTGGCTGCTACATGCCACTCAAAGCGGTTAAACGGGAGGGGAACAAGAGAGGGGCGTGGCTTCTGATAAAACACCTAGGCGTTCACTGGCGAGATTATTTCATTATTAACAGATGAGTACAAAGTAACAAAACACTTTCATGTTGTTGTTTTTTCTTTTATGCTTTTCCTGTAATCGTCAACTCTTAGGTAATGATGTCATCTCTATAAACCTGTCTGAATATAAACATGAGTCCGAATGTTATTTTTGTGAGTTCATAATTAAATTCCTGATTATTATTCATTTAAATTTCACTCAGGACTGACCTGTGGTGTGACATGTTTTAATAATTCATGTAAAACTATTTTATAGTTATTTTAAAACATGTTTTTTATGTCTTTACTGTTAAAAATTCAGTGCACAAAACTGATTAACTCAAAAACTGTATTTAAAAATGGTGGGAAAAATGTATAAAATATAGTCATATGCATAAGGTGTATGTTAATGTTAACCTAGAATCCTGGTGTTAAAAATCCACAAATCCATATAAGATAAAGCTGAGAAAATAAAACAACCATTGCTCACCTGTTGCCAAGGTTATTTGGTATTTTATCTGGTTGTGGTTTATACAGTAAAGCCCACAAAGCACAGAATATGATATTTAGGACATGATGCTAGATCTAATGTTTGATTTTCCATTGTTAACTCTTGCGTTGTGTAATGTGTAACCTGAACGATGCTCAACACACACTCACTGTCCACAGAAAACACATACAATAAAATAAGCATTGCAGCTCATAATAAACCATTAAAGCAAAAGGAAGTATTTTAATAAACAGATATTTAACTTATAAGAAACATATTCACTTAATATAACTTCAATTAACAGGATGTTCATAAAGAATTGATAGTTAGCATACGTCAGTTTGAAGTTCATTTTCATATTTTTAACTTTTGAAATATATTTCAAAAATATTATCTTTGGTATTTTGATATTATCAGACTGATCCATGTACTTTGATCAAATAGAGCGACACAAACAACACAAAACATCACAGAATCCATCAAAATCTTACTGATGATGTTTGTGCTGCTGCTGATTTCCCTCCAAAATTATGTCACTTCCTGTCAGGTGATGTCATTAAGTAACTGTGATTTTACAAAATAAAAGACTAATGGGATTGAATCCGATATTGAGGACACGGGAAATGTATCACCAATTTAAAAAAAAAATCCTGAATATCTAGATTTCAATTAAGTATTTGATTGATTCCATAAATTATCGTTTTTTCATTTTTGCAGCATGTATTAACAAGACAAAAATGAACATCCACTCAAACCCAAGTAAAGAAATGATTTCCAACCTTTAATGTTTCTATGAAGGGACATGGGAGTGTAGTTTAGCTCATAGCAGGATTGATCCAGGTGTAATATGAGCTCATGTCTGAGATAAAACAGCCAGACATGTGAGATGAGGACCTCAAAGGAGCAGTGCTCATGTGACTGTGTGTTTTAGTGATTACATAACCTCACAATCTCACCGGGTGTTTAATTTGGAAACTCAACGGAGTCTCGACTCCCAGCCGGAGTCATCTGAGAGGAGTTTTATTAGCTTTAGCTGGAACCAACAAATCACAACAAACATGGCGAGACCGGGGCTAGTTGTCACACTCTTTACTCCAGTGAATACTTCTCAGTTTAAAAATGAATTTCAATGTCTGTACAGATACAAACCTTAAAGTCTCTTAAACTGCTGTTTATTGATATATTTATAAATACGTCTAAAAAAAACATATCTACGCATTATAAATGCTTGCAGCAAAATAATTATAAAACAGCACAAACATTTGTATAAAAAACATGTTGCCAACTGATACATACTTACAAAAAGCACTAGAAATAGTTTCTGAACACTTTTCAAATGTTACATTTATATCAAACCATTGTTGTTATCAAACCAATAAATCAATTGACGAACGCTTAAAAGATGTGACAACTTGCCCAAAACTCTCTTGATCTGGAAACTCGATTAAACTTTTCTTTCCTCTTTTAAAACTGTACTGTAGTTTGTACTGTATTGCATCATTCACGCAGTGGATTCATCTAAATCCCCGCCGCCACTGTAAACGGAGGCAGAGACCCAGCAAACACGTGACGTAACGGCGACCAAAAGTGACGTCAGTATTGGTCGTGGGTTCGTCGCGTCACCAAAAGACTATGCCACGACGTTGTGGCAACTTCATCAGAAGGTAGTCTCGTGACCACAGCGCTTGGTCGCTTCCTTACCTTCCCACAACGTTGTCTAAAGACCAGCTGATGACCAATCATTTTCTAACCTCCTCACCACGTCTTAGCCACGTCATTTCTTGACTTAGAAGCAGATGTACATTTTAATAGAAGAATTTTTTTTCAGATATTTTGTATGTACAGGTGCTGGTCATATAATTAGAATATCATCAAAAAGTTTATTTATATCAGTAATTCCATTCAAAAAGTAAAACTATAATTTAATTTATATATATATATATATATATATATATAATTTAAAAATGTTACCCTATTCACCTGTGACAGGGTAACATTACCCTGTAACATTACCCTGACACTTGTTACAGTGTCTTAAGTGAGACACTGTAACAAGTGTCTCACTTAAGACTCATTCAAGTCATACAGATTTCAACAATTTCCCTTCGGTACACTAGGGGGCAGTATATGCAACTCAAACGATTGCAGCGAAGAGCTTCCGCTGCTGGTGTATAGAAGTCCCACCTCACGAACCGGAACATGCGTGGATTGTGTTTGAATTTTCACTTTTCGTATCCTTTGACCGTCTTCTAGTTGTTTATTTTACACACTTTCTTATCTTTTTAGTTACCTAACGTTACAGCAGTAGTTTAACTTATCAATCGAAGAAAGAAGAAATACACCATTCCTTCAAGACGAAACAGGTAAGTGTAAAAACAACCCGCCGTAAGGGTCCCACACGTTCTCTAAAGTTTCCTAATTTTACATTTTAACCAAGATCTCTATTTCAAATGTAGTTTAAAATGGCTTTTTAACTAGTTAGGTTTAATTGTTGAGTAGACAGTGTTGCGTCACATTTGCTCAAATAGAACATGTCTGAGTGGGCCTAACGTTACTGTAGGCCTACTGTTGTTGTTTTATATGTACAGATACTGGTCATATAATTAGAATATCATCAAAAAGTTGATTTATATCAGTGGAATTTACTGCTGTAGTCTCTTACTGTGGTAATTTCATTATCCTGGTAAATAGAATAACTTATTTCAGCTTTATTTAATTGTTGTTTTGTATTATTACATATTGTTTTTCTCCCTTCCCAGTTCCTAGAAACCCTGTTTTTGTCTGGAAATGTTGTATTCACACAATAGTGGTGTGGGAAACTATTAAACTCGCATCTAATTTCTTCCATTGCAGCTCTCGGTGATTGTCTTCACTGAAATCGGAAATCACAGAAATCTGCAGTGTTTTTCAGGTAAGCATGTTTTTAAAAAAGTGATAGTATTAAATCCAGTATACAAATATTGTTATTGGGGGACTGTAAACTATTCTGTTTTTAGAACTTGACAATCCACTAACTTAAACCTTTTCAGAAACATCAAGTGGCTACCATGTCCTTACTAGGGGTGTAGTTTGATACGATACACTTGTGTCACGGTTCGGTACGTTTTCGATACAGCAAAAATAAAGAAATGCCAGAGAAATGTCCTTGATATAATTTTTTTAATTATATTTTTATTAAAACTAACATCATAAAGTATGATATTTTTTTACTTTGAGCAATGATGGAGCTATACTTGACTTTTCTTAGGAGCATATAAAACAAAAACAGCTCCTTGGACAAAATGAAATGTAATATTGTAGTAGTTATAAACAAAGGTTTATTTTAGTTCAGATTAACATTTGAGGGCAGCAATTGTATTCATAATGTCAAAATAAAACCGACGTAATGTTACTTGAAAGCATTATAGCCTACTATTCCTGCCACACTTCCATGGTTACAGTTAGTAGTGTTACTACAGTAAATCCATGGTGAATGTTGCTGATCTGTGGACACTGATTAGTTCATTCATGGCACAATGTTTCTCCTGGTTTCCACGTCAGCGCGGTTTGAATTGTAAAATTTGATTGTATTTTAGGATGAAGCGAAGTCGGAGAATCTATTTACAGTCCTGGAGAGCTACCAGACGCACTCTCCAAAAACTCCATGCAAGCCAGGCAGAAAATGCACGTGCGAGCCAGACAGGGAATGCCTGTGCAAGCCAGGCAGAGAATCTCACTCACCAAAACACTGAGAGCCTCAATAGAGACGCATTCATGGCATGTGGAAGAGATGGAATGGTGATAGAGGACGTGTCCGATTTGAAGAGAGATAAAAGCATGAATGAAGACAATTTGTTTGAAGACAGTGTGCATGAGTCATGTGACAGGCACAAAAGTGGTATGGAGTCACCCTGCAGTGACTCAGTGAGCAGTGACTCAGACCTCGACAACCACTCTGATGGCACATTGTTTGAAGCCCTTGCAGCTTGGACCAGTGAGTTCCGGGTGAAGCACAATGCTGTGGATAGCTTACTGAAATTGCTGCAAAGCCATGGTCATCCACAACTGCCATCCACTGCCCGTACACTCCTGAAAACACCTAGAGAAGTGAAAACTGTGGAGAAGTCTGGCATGGAGTGTCTACACTACCAATTGAAGGAGAAACTAGTTGAGACCCTAGATCGTTACCCAGTTCAGCTTGTGAGTGATCTTGAGACTCTGGAGCTGTCCTTTAATGTTGATGGACTGCCTCTCTTCAAAAGCTCTGGGAAGTCCATGTGGCCGGTCCTCTGTGCTGTAATGCTTAGTCCAGTTACTATTTTTCCCACTACACTGACTTGTGGGATGAAGAAGCCAACTGACCTTGGCTTCCTGGAGGACACAGTTAAGGACCTAGCTGAGATCTTAGCAAATGGCCTGAACTACAGAGGGAGGAACATTAAAGTGACGGTTAGGTGCTTTGTGTGTGACGCCCCAGCCAAAGCAATGATCAAGAACACCAAATGTTACTCAGGGTACTATGGATGTGAGCGATGCACACAACAAGGATTATGGTTAAATCGAGTCACATACCCGGAGACATCTGATTTAGAGCTGCGTACTGATGCATCATTCAGAGCTCAAACACAGCCTGAGCACCACCATGGCACCACACCACTGTCTGACCTTCCAATTGACATGGTTCAGAGTTTCCCCATTGACTATATGCACCAGGTCTGCCTAGGCGTCACAAAGAAGCTGCTCTATATTTGGTGCAGAGGCGAAAAGGGGATGCGGATATCTGCCAGCCAGGTTCAGGAGTTGAGCAGCAGGCTGCTGATGCTGAAGTCATCAATCCCCTCGATTTTTGCACGCAGCCCTCGAGGCCTGGATGAGCTTGAACGATGGAAGGCAACTGAGTTTCGCCAGTTTCTGCTATACACAGGGAAACTGGTGCTGAAAGGTGTCTTAAGAGAGGACCTTTACAACCACTTCCTGACATTGAGTGTTGCTGTTGGGTTGCTGGTGTGTCCAACACTGGTGCAGCAGTACCATGACTATGCTCACCAACTACTACAATACTTTGTAGAGAAAGGCTGTGAACTGTACGGGCACACCTTCCTGGTCTACAACACACACACCATGCTGCACCTGTCAACAGATGCAGTGTGCTTCAAAGGCCTGGACAACTGCAGTGCTTTCATGTTTGAGAACTACCTCCAGGCCATTAAGAAGATGGTACGATCTGGAAAGAGTTCCCTGGCTCAGGTAGCAAACAGACTGGAAGAGAGTCTGAACCGGCCAATTGCACATCAAAAAAAGAGAACTTCCAAAAAAAGGAAGGACCAGGCATACTATTTGGAAGATGGACATTGCTGTGAAGTTGTGGATCAGGTAGAAAAAGAGGGAAAGGTTAAATGCATAGTCTACCGCCACCCTGAACCTCTTTTCTCTCAGCCATGCAGTTCGTTTTTGATTCGGGTTTTCCAATACCACAGGAGGAACACACTGATGAAGAGGATTCCTACAACAGAACTCTGGAGGAGCGCCATACTAGTAGATAGGGGGCAGATTACAACTTTTATGGCAGTTCTACATCAGGTCTGAAGAAAGGTGAAAATGGATCTGAGTATGACCAAGGGGAAAGTCTTAGCCCAAAGGCTGAATCGTTTAAAGACAAAAAAAATTTTAGATCTTTTTTAGATTTTTTTTTAGTAGTTTTAGAAGATACGCGGATTCGCCCACTCATTGCGCGCGCCGAGCAGACACCAGTGAAACTTGACAACATCATGTCGACGAGACGCTGTGTTCTGAAGTGCGAATCAAAAGCGAACTTTTTTTTCACTGCCCAGGGACAAGCATGTGAAGAATCAGTGGCTAGAGTTTATATTTACAACTATACCCGAACCTTGTGCTGTGTTCGCGTCATTTTAATGACGATTCCTTTACAAACATAAATGCTTTCAAGTGTGGATTCGCGAGCCGGTTGATACTGAAGGAAGGTTCAGTACCAAGTTTATTTGGATCAGCTTCCTCCTCCGAATCACAACCTGTAAGTACTATTAATAATTGTTGCTTTTATGGGTTTTGTAGCATGCTCAATAAGTATGCGTGTGTGTTGTGTAAGTTACGCTCAGCGCAGCTTCTAGGTCTCCAATGTCATTTTTTTTTTATATGTGAAATGTTTGTCGTTGTTATTGGAGTTGTCATAAAGACTAGAGCGTCTTGTAGTACTGTCATTGAGGTTGTCTATTCTTTCTAATCAACAGCATGTCTTACGTCGTTGTTGAATTCCTCACTGAAGGGAGTGTAGCTGTGGTGGCTAAATGTTGGACATATAAGGAACTAACGGTATTTTATCAGATCATTGGCTATTGACTATTTTCTGGGAGTGTCAGTATGTACTGTACTTTGGAAAATACAGTGGTCATTAAATATTTTTCATGAATTTCAGGATGAGTATTGTTACTGGCCCGCGTGCAACCCGACAGCCAGAGCACGAAGAGGGGAACAACCTGATCCTGATACTTGGATTTCCAGGAAAGTCAAGGTGTTTAGTGGTGTTACAGGTACAGTTGTATTAATTTGTTGTCCAGTTTTTGCTGTGCATGCTTTTTTTTTTTTTATCTGCTAAGAAAGCAAAATACATTGCATCATGTAGAATACTTGTAAATGTTTAAACTAATCCTATATTGTTTGTACTTTCCCCAATGTTCACATTTCTTTGTAGCTGACTTTAACCAGGCACTTCGGTGGTTGAGAAAGGCCGAAACATTGTCAAACGTGGAAAGTGCAGATGATGGGGCTGTGCTCTCAAAAAGGACATCAAAAAGGCCAGCAAAATTTGCTTACAGCAGCGATGAGGGTATTTACATTTACATGTAGTTATTTATTACATGCTGTATCTCTGACTGGTTTGTTGACTGGAGTTTATTATATGCTTTTTAGATGAAGACTCTGCAGAACAGGTCCTCCAAACTAATAAGAAATCCAGAGGTATGATATTAAATAACTGTTCAATATTTCTCAAGAGTACCATGCTTCACAAGACTGCCCTCTATAAGAAAATCGCTAGCATGACATTTTTGGAATTCATTAGACAGGGTCCCGTAAATGAATGATTAACCAAAGTATCTTGGTAATATGTATCATCTAGGTTTGTCCCATGGACCACCAGAGGTGCCACTTTCATGGAAATCTTCTGCAGGACCAACACACCCTCCACCTCCCATCTGCATCTTTCCGCAGACAAACACTATGAACAGTAAGTTAACAATTGTTGCATAAGCTTTGTCAAGTTGTGCGGATCTATATTAAAATATACCTTATGTTGATATTTTTTATTTATTTACACAGACCTTGATCCAGTTAGTCCTATTCAGCCTGAGATGTCTGATGGTATGATTATATTTTTATTGTTGGTTTAATGACTTTGAAAATCTTGTTTATTTGTAAAGTGTTACAGTTATCAACATATCAACATATTGACACAAAAAATGTAGCCTGGTGATTTGAACTTTGGTAGTTCTCGTTTTATAACATGCTGAACCTAAGTGTTGAGTTTAATCGCTTGCATTTTGTATTGCATATGTGCACACAGAAACTGCCAGCTGCTCCTCAAGTGTGTCAGACTCTATCTCCGCCTTAACCCAAACGGTTACAGTAATACAAGGTATGTTAATTTTTATTGTGGGTAAATTTCAGTCATGTAATAACTGCAATGTGTTATCTTTGCACTTTGTACGTTTCTGACCTTCATTTTAATGTCTTTGAAACATTTTGTGTTTCTGAAACAGAGACACTTAAGGCAATGTTGACCCGCCAGGATGTGATGGCAAAAAACATCCAGGAGATCCTCCTCCGGTTAAACCAGACTGGAGGGGCCAGCCAGGGTCCGGAGACCCCAATAGAAATCGATGTGGCCCAGTCTTTGGAAGAACTTGCTGTCTTGGAGGCAAAACTGAAAGAGCTTCCAGACTACAAGAAGAGATTGGTGGGTAATGGTTTAAACATAAAGCTATGTTTTATGTAGAGCTAAATATTTACTGCATTACGGATTTTTAATTTTCTGTATTTCCTCTGTGTAGACACACCATCTCAGTCTGATTGGTGGAGCCAACCCGGGAGAAGTTACAAGGCGTATCATGAGGGCTGTAGCTTCTAGCAGTGTCTGGAAGAACTACAGCCTTCATGGGAAGAAGGGAAAAAAAACGTTGCTGCATACAGCAGTGTACCAGGTTATCAAACGTGAGTTTAATATAAGTGTTACTTTTGGTAATAATTGTGTGGATGTTCCACAGCACAAAAAAATGCATTTATGCTTGTCTAAACAATTTCTGCTTTACAATTGGTTCATGTTTCAAAATATAGCTTGCTGTTTTCAAATCTAAAAGACAATATCAAAATGCCCTTCTGCTTCATTTAATATATATTAAATGTGTCCACCACTTGTTTTGTAAAACATTGTAATTACACAAGAAATTTACAAAACATTTACAAATTTTTTTATTCTACACAACAGGGGCTATCATGCTGAGTCGGTCCGGACTACAGGACAAAGCTGTGGAGGAACTCGTCACAAATGTTTTAAAACATGCCCCAGCCCACAGTAAACTACAGGTACAAATATACACTTCTTGTGAGCATTTCACTTAAAAGACTGTGGCAATCGACTATTACTTGTAGGGATGGGCCGATACCACTTTATGGAATGAGTAGCAGTACTTAGTATTTCATTTTTTGCACTTGCCGATACTTACAGTGTACCGATACAAAATCTTGACATTAAATCTTGAAGGTCTGTTCACTTAATTTATTTAAATTGTTTGTCTAGGTGCAGCCAGTCCCAGAAGTGGCAGTCCCACATTAGGACAATAACCAGCAATTCAGATGAAGACCTTTTTAAAGTGTTTTAAATAGTGACATTTATTTTTTTCCTTTTTTGCTTTAATGTATAGTTGTTTTTTCCCCATTTGTTATTTTAGTGTCTGTTAAATTCTGTTAAATAAAATCTGCAAAAACACTTTTCAGTTCTTTCAATTATTCTACAATGTTTTTTAACATGTTTAACATTAACATTAGTGAATGTTTAAACATGTTTTTACCAATTGTTTGAGTAAAATGTCGATTTGAACAGTAATGCTAGTTGAAACAACCAACAAACAAAAAGTTCTGAACAAGAACCACAATTATAGATGTTGCTGTGGCAGGTAAATGCTAGTATAAATGGATGTCAATAAATCCACTGCAGAATGAATATATATATATATATATATATATGAAAAAGTCATCAAATGACCAATTGGCGACCAATAACGCTGCCGCAACGTACTGGCTACGTCGCAGCAACGTCATCCAAAAGACGAATCGGCGACCAAAATTAAATAACGTTTAACATAACGTACTGAAGACGTACTGAAGACGTTGTCACGTTGTCGGTTGGCGACGTCGTAGCGACCTCTTTTGGTGTTTCACTTTGGCGGTTGTGGCGACGTCATATGCTAACGTAAGCGTGACTAAAAATGACCAGCACGTGACGTCGTCACAACGTAATATTGTTTGCTGGGGATTTGAGAGGATTTGTTGATTATATTTATATTATATTAAGCTAAAGCCTGAGCTCAATGTGTGTATTGAATGTTTAAATCTGAAACTCAGATTACAGAGTCTGCTTCACATAATCTCCATACAAACCCAGATAACAGCGATCAAAAAAGACTGAATATATGTCTGATCCCAGATGGCATTTGGAATTGTGTCAGGCAAATGGATTCAAATGATTATAGCCAAAACACACAGATGATGTCAATGTACACACACACACACACACACACATATGGAAGGCCTGAGGTCATGAACTCTGGACCTGTTTGTCTAATCAAATCACTTGTTTCACCCACTGGTAACACCAGAGAACATCGACCTATACCAGGGTTTATATGCTGATAATGGATGGAGATGATGCCCTGAAAAATGAATGAATGAAAATGTTATCCTTCTTTGTTTATGCTTTGCATGGATGAAAGTGCTTTTGAAATGCAAATTCAAACTATTTTTATATCGCTTTCAAGCGCACACTGCTACAGCTTGCACTTTTATATAAGCAAGCACACATTACAAAAACATGGTAACTTTACAATAAGGTTCCATTAGTTAAAGGTAACGTTTTTGTTCAAAATTAACAAAATATAAATAATGAGTCAATGCATCATCAATGATTATTCCAAAACGTGTTTTTGTCTTACCCTGATTCACTATGGTAAGCCTATTATAGAAATGTCGGGGTGGTTTTCGCGGGAAATCGCGTGCATAGGTCGCTCGCCCGTGCGTGCTCGTCATATCCGTAAACAGAGAAAAGTTGCTCCGGCTGCTTTGACGCATGTCTGGTGTGGGGTGAGTGACAGAGGTTAGTTCTCACACGAGATCTTCCTTGACTTCTTTTTGTCTATTAATAGGTTACAGTAAAGTCTTCAGCTGGTCAGCTTGAGATCCTTTCAATCTAAACTAATAGTGAATGTGTTATGAGCAGTAGGATAGTCATATTCATCCGCACAGTCACGCAGAGACGAAGCACAACTAAACCAATGTTCTTCCGCAAAATGCATACAGTTGTGTCTCTTTATCACCAGAGGGGTTACAGTGTACCTTTAACATGAACTATGAAAAAATACTTCTTATTAAGAATGTATTAATCTCACTAAAGATGAATTTCAACATTTACTGATATATTACTAAAAATCAAAAGTTGTATCTGTTAACATTAATGGACCCGAGCTAACATGAACAAACAATAAACAGTTGCATTTTTATTAACGAAGATTAATAAATACTGTAACAACTGTATTTCTTATTGTTGGTTAGTGCATTAATTAATGGGACATTTTGCAAACTGTTACCCAAAACACAGCAATTAATCATTTCAAAGTAAGAAAAGTAAGCTGGAGTTCTCTTAGTCATTCATGAAGGGTTTTTATTAAACAGACACATGTTACTAGACGAGATTAGTTGGCTGAGTGATCACATACACTAGTAAATCCCTGAAAAAAGTAGTCTTCATGTTAATAAACAGCACAACACCAATTATCAAGATGAAAGAGTGGTCACTTTACTGCCCTCTACTGCGGCAGCAAAACATATTCATGCTAAAAAACAACAACATGCGCTCACAAAACTGGTCATATTTCACCCCAAACTCATATAGAGGAAATACGAAATTAAGTTTTGCATGAATAAGAAATTAAGTCTATTTTAAAACTATGAATATGCATTTCCATGTTGCAAAAAATATTATTTAAATTGTAAAAAGAAAATTCAAATTGTATGATTTTTATATGTATTACTATAAAACTGCAAATAATATTGTATTGCAGTACTAAGACTCGCTATACAGCAAATGAGAATTACTACAAAGGTTTAGATGCGTTAGTCATGGAAATGTAGGGGGAAAACTTGCCTAATTGTCATGGGGGGGGGGATGTCATAATGCAAAAAGATCTTAATGTTTCTAAAATAGACTTCACTTTTTTTTTTAGAAAAATTAATTTCTTGTTTTTAGGGTGAAATATGACACGTTTACATGAGCTGCACTCATCGAGACCTTCATGAGGATTGACACTTTTTGTCAGAGAACTCTTGCATAGGGATCATAAAGCTCACTATATAAAAACTATGGCATATATTTCAGTACTTCAAGGCATTTGAGATTTCAGTGATGATGTTCAGATTGTACAGATTGTGTTTTTGGTTTGCGAACGACAATCCCAGGTTCTGATTCCCCTTTGGCATCAGTCACTGAAGACACTACAAGTATATATTGATGCATCAACAGTTACAAAATATATATATTCTCTAGATATCATGCATAGTCCGAGATTATATAGCAAAACAAATAATAAACTATATCATAATAATAATAATGTCATCTCTAAGGCACAAATGAAATGCTATTTTGGCTGTGAACTTTATAAAGCTGTGAAGAGAGAGATTACTGTATTAGTTAACATGACGCTATTATCTGACATATTAATATATATGGGCAAGATTAATATGACAACGCCACATATCCAGTCGTGATGGCACGGTGTCTGCCGTCCTGGTTCTTCAGTCACTTCCTCCACACAGCTTCAGCAACAGCTTCTTGTAATCACCAGACGTGTCTCCCTGATGAGAAATACTTGTGTTTATACCAGTGTGATTATTCATAATATTCTATTTCTAGCTACAGGACAAATAAACTCTTTAATTTGCTAATTGATTATACTTAAATATGATATGAATAATATATGCCTCCTAAAATTAAATGACTATAAAAAAAAAAAAAAAATTTTAAAGAAGTATTTTATGGCTGCATTTATTTGATCAAAAATTGTGAAATAATATTACAATTTAAAATAACTGTTTTCTATGTGAATATATAGTAAAGTGTAATTTTTTCCTGTGATCAAAGCTGTATTTTCAGCATCATTACTCCAGTCTTCAGTGTCACATGATCCTTCAGAAATCACTCTAATATGATGATCTGATGCTCAAGAAACATTTATGATTATTATCAAATTGTGTTCATATTTATGTGGAAACTGTTCAAAAGTTTAAGAGTCAGTAAGATTTTTTTTTTGTAAATGAAAAATTAATTAAATGTTTATTAAGCATCAAATCATCATATAAGAGTGATTTCTGAAGGATCATGTGACACTTGCTTTGATCACAGGAATAAATTATAGCTTCAATATATTCACATAGAAAACAGCTGATTTAAATTATAAAAATGTTTCACAATATTACTGTTTTTTTAACTCAAATAAATGCAGCCTTGATGAGCAGAAGAGGCTTTTATTTAAAACAATACAAAATTATTCTAAACTCTTGATCTGTAGTGTATGTACGTCTTATGAATAAAGCATAAGGATAAATACAGTGTATTGTGTGTGTGTGTGTGTGTGTGAGACTTACAGAGATGTGAGTGTAGAGTGACTTCCCGAACTGGCGCAGATACTCCTGTCTGATATCCAACATGTCCACCTCAGAGCGGGTCACCATGATGCGGATCAGAGTCCTGTCTTTGGTGCCCGCACCCTAAACCAAAGAAAACCATCATCATCATCATCTTCATCATCATCTTCATGTTTGCAGTGCCATTTTTGTACCAACAGGAAAAGAGGAAGTGCATGCACAATATATAATGCTAAGAAAACATAAAAATAACCCACAAATACATGCTTCCGAATGACCTCAGACATACATTATCATAGCAAAATATGCCTATATGTATATTTATCAGCATATTCTTTACCTGCATGGCCTTGTGGAGACGTTCAGCAAAATAGGCAGGAGTGTTTTTAATGCACTTCACTGAAAAACAGCACAGATGGGACATGATTATGAACATTACTTCATATTACACAGAGGAATACTTTAAATATGATTAGTAATAATTAGGGCTGTCAAATGATTAATCGTGATTAATCACATCCAAAATAAAAGTTTTTTTTACATAATTTATGTGGGTGTACTGTGTATAATTATTTTATATATATAAATACACACACATGCTTGTATATATTTAAGAAATATTTTCATGTATACTGTATATAGATTTATATAAAATTTATATTATATGTAAATATTTTATATATAAATAATATTTTTTTCTTAAATATACATGCATGTGTGTGTATTTATATATATACAAAATAATTATACACAGTACACCCACATATATTATTATGAAAAAAA